TTTTTTTAATCTTCAGCGAGATTAATCCGCGTCGCTTGCATGCCGTATATATCGTATATAGCACTTACACAGAAACAGCTATATTACAATTGCGTGTGAGGGTGTGTGGGCTATCTACTCTCTCTCTCTTTTCTAGTGTATGTGTCTGCCAGAAGGATTAAAAGCTCGATAACGTGATGGGTATTTAGGGCTTTTATACTTGATTTAACGTTCTTCGCCTACGCCAGGCTCTACGGGTTTTTCCCCTCGAACGAGCGATATAGCATTGTTCCTTTGTTTTTTTGAAAACTGCAACTTAGCAATGGTTTTCATTTTTTCTTTTTTTATTGATATTTCCTATATCTTTATTGCATTTATGTAAGCCTTTTATTAATTTACACTCGAACAAAGCGACACATCCAAGTGCTCGCATGAGTTATGCACGAAAAGCTTAAATTTTTTAATGCCCTGGCTACTCGTTCAAAAAGCGAGAGGAAATTCTCTCAAATACGATTTTTTCCGATAAACCCATTTATGTGAAATACAGTAGGCTTCTTTTTAAGTGAATGGTAAAAAAAAAGTAATTAAAAATTTTAAATCGCGACCGATATATGTTCTGTTTACGCGTGACTATAATATTATTTGAAAATTTTCCATTCGCCATTTCGTATTAATGCAATATTGATCTAGCGACCTGACAGTATATGATTCTATGTAGATTTAAAATATAGACGGAAAGAGGATAGTGTATACGGACGTACGTGTATATGGCATGAGAGGATTATAATCTTCAGCGCGTTGGACTGAAATTTCAATTAAATCAACATAGCCACAAATAATACCGAAACTAGACTATGTTACGCTAATTGACAGATCGTGAAATCCTTATAGTGAAACGTCATCGTAATAAACTTATATGTATGTATCTGCTGCTCCTGAATTATGCGTATATATCGTACAACTATATACACTATCTCTCTCTCTTGCTCACGAGTGATTGTTCGTGTGCGAGAGAAAAGCCACTATTCTCCTCCTCATTCGCCTGCAGTTGTGCAATATTCAATCAGGACTCGCAGAAGATCGTTTGCCACTGTATACCGCTGTTTAGTCAGCATAATATTATAGCTCGTTGCCAGTGCGTCTACATACATGTCGTGACAAGCGAAATTCACTCAAATGATTCCCTCATTTATTCGAGATGCCAAGATTTGTCAAGTGTATAACGCGTTTAAAGCTTCATATACTGTGAACACTACCTTGAAATCAAGATATCATAAACACCGATTTTTTTGGGTGAAAAATCTATCGCTGCAAAAATACGAAATGATGATTACACACGCGTATGTAAAATATAAGTAATCATTTTCTGAACTTGACTACTTGACTATTATTACAAATAACGCGATATAAACAATTTTTTAAAACTTTTTGTTTTTATACACCTCAGACTTGGAGCTTTGTCTCCAAGATACCCAAGCAAATCTTGTGCGTGTGCTAGCGTGTACGTGTATTATAAATAAATTTTAAGTTCATTCTCGCAAGAGCTTTTAATAGGAACCACTATTTTTCGATAAAAACATAATTTATATAACGATGATGATGCATTAGCATGCGATATGAACATTTCGAACGAGGGATTCTTTTTCTTCGGATATTTTAATTCTTTAACTTTTAATACAATCGTAAGAAATGGAAAAAAGATGTTGGAAAATAATAAATGAGACCGAAGATCATAAATAATTTACTAATGGATAGAGAAAGAGATTTTAGAAATGAATGAAAAAAAATCAAAGGCAGTTTTATTCAGCAATTGATTTGATAATTTGTTCCGAAAATATTTGATTCCTCGAATACGCATTAAATCTATTGGACAAGATAGGGTTTTATTAACAAAATATACTGGCAAAATATTTTTCGTGTGAAAAAATTTCACTGCAAAGGTTTGCGAAATAGAGAAAAATATTCATTTTCACACGAGAACCAACTTTTTTTTAAGCTATCGAAAAGGAAAAATTGTTCGCAAAATTTTTTCCCGTTTACATGTACTTGAATTGTTCGAATATTCAAATTTACTTAGTACAATGAAATATTACGCAATGAAACCCGTACTATATTTTTGTATTTACGTGAAAATATCACGTAAACGTATATAAGCATTATACGTTCAAAATAAAAAAAAAGGTAAGTGGATTCCATTGCAAAAAAAAACAGAAGCCATCAACACGTGATTTTTTTTCTCCAGTATAATATTTAGAGAATTTAATGAAGCCTGTCCGAGGTCTGCAACCGTAGGCAAACTTTGCTGAAAATTACCGGCTATGGTACACTTTTTTCAGGCTCTCAACCATCTAATCGTATATTTCTTTCTTTTACCGTTCAAATATTTCGTTCCTTTTTTGTACTTTTTTTAATTGCTCCTGTTTCATTTTTCATCCGCGATTTCCCTCACATCACTTTCACACGCACCGGAGCTTAATAGATAAGCTAGATATATCGCTATGGATTGTTTTAAAATCCATACGCATAGCACTGCAGGTCCGAGAGAGAAATGGATGCGAGCGCGAGTCACCGCGAGCTTTATGGAAAATATACACCCAACGAGAAAAGATATAAAAGCTTGCGCCCGTGACAAACTTTATTGAAAATTCGGTATATGAATTCACTGTGCAAGAGTTCGTATTTTTTCTGTTATGCAGATTACGGTTTGATTTTAAATTAGCATGACTGAGGAGTACATAGCAATCACCCAACGCATATTTTTTATTGCCAACCGACGTTACTTTTGTGGATGTCCTATCCGTTTAAATGAGAACTTGAAGGGAAGAAGAGGAGAATTTTACTGCAAACTTCATTCATCTTATATGAATGGCACAAATTTATCTAAAATTCGATTGCTACGAGAAAGTTGGAAAAGTTTTCTATTCGGAAGATTGGACTAGCTGGATGCATAGGAAACTTACCAATCATTGAAATCCCAAAGACTTTCAGCGTTTAGACCATTTTATAAGTATAAAGAAAACCATTTTGCAATAGTTGTGATGGTTAATAATGTCGGCATGAAAAAGTGATTTGAACTGCTACAGCTATTGAGTCTGTGCTGCTCCTTCAAAAAACAGTCGCCTCAGCGCTTTTGATTTTTGCTTCTTCGCCCGCTATATCTTAATCTCTCTCGTTTTCTTTAACGTTTTCAGAGCAGTTTCTTTGCTGCACGCGATTTTTTTGCACTTTTGCGACGCAATGATACATATCATGTGTTCGACGCGAATTCGTAAGACCAAAAATACCACATGATACTTATAAAGACTGTAACCGAGGAGAAACCGAGTGTTTTCAAATTTATTTTACAGTCGAGGGGAAAGTACAGGTCGATTTTATTCGGGAATTGCGAAATTCGATGGATCTTAATTACCATTAGGTTTCAATGAGTTACCGTACGGGATATAAATATATTCGTCTTCTCGGATGACGCGGTATAGGCTTATATTTATATCGCCAAATGACCACCATATCTCAAAATCATTTCCACATATTCAGCGCGAACTGTTTGTTTTTCGAGAAAAAAATATAAATTTAACCCGGAAATGATACAAAACTGAGTAACACTCGGATTTCCATCACTAAATTATTCACTAAATTCGGCCATTGCATTTTGAATTTGGTTTTGGCTATTACGAATGTAACACCGAACCTGTCGCTCGATCTCTCTGTCTTTAAATAAACCGAATCGCTTAATACGTATGTGTACTTGCTAAGGCACACAGTCACATACAAAGCGTCGCTTTTTGACCGGAACTTTACACAGTAGCAAATAGATATATTAGACGGCAACGTGCTCATTCTGTTCGACGCGGCCATAAATAAACTAAACCACTAAGTGAGAGGATAAAAAGCCAGCGAATTACCTTGTACTGGGGCGGGGAATTCTAAAGAAACTTGAACTGCAGAATTTTACTCTTTCTTCTATTCATTCGTCCGCAGCTCTAGCTTTTTCTTCCAGTGGCTCCCCCCAATTCCCCTCTACTTTATTTCTACTCTTTGCGCGTAACGTGTGCGGGTGGCTGTAGGGGCGTTGATTTTTTTTCGTTCATCACTCGCTTTCTCGCTCCGAATTGCGCGAGGTGCTATGCACACGATACGGCTGCTACTGCTGTGCACGTGTATATTGCTGTGCCACACAGCAACAGCTGATTTATCGCATGGATCGTTCCAACGCATCAGTCTCGATACACTTAATACCCAGGGTAATGCTTGCCGAATTCGTTGTGTATGTGAGCGTGTGTGTGTGTGTGTGTGTGTGTGTGTGTGTGTGTAGAGCGCCGCTACGTCGAGGTAGATCCGTATATGTATGGAAAAAAACTAAAAAAGAATAAGCATCAATCGATCGTGTACGCCCACGTACGTGGCACAGTATTTATTCTTTCTCTTAAAGCCCAATGTGAATTAGTATATTCGTGCGCTGTTGATCGAGAAAACTGCCAGGCTTTCGAATGTTTCTATTTTTCTAGCTGTTTTAGCGCGCTCGGGATCGATTTTTTTTGCCTCTCGGCGGCTTGAGCGCACGTATACACATGGTGAACGTGCACGCGCGCGAACGAGTTGCTCCGCGAAATATACTTTTTTCTTCACTCAAACATTCACTGCTGAGATTAATTTTGTTGAGGAAAGGCGAGCTTCATGCGTAGGCGGAATCGCGCGCTGCGAGCGATTTATTTATGGGATTTTCGAATGAGTTTGTGTAAATGAATTGCACATGTCTTATTTAAGTTTATGGCGTCGAGCCGCGTGTTCTCTCGCGGCGTCCCGGATGTTCTAGTTGGATTAATTTGTTTCACCCGACATTTTTGCTCTTTGCAATCCGGAGAATGGCGAAAATTCATATAAGGGTTGATTTTGATAAATGTTTCCCTACATCCTGACTATACTACTTGAAAATATATTTTTTCATATAATATCTGAAATTGCGAATGCGAACATTCAATGGCTTCGGAAATTTAAAATTTTGATGATTTTCTTTGTTGCAGGTGCGCGGAAGGATTCACGGGTCTGCGCTGCGAGACGAAGGACGTCATCAGTACAGGAAGTGTGTATAACAGACACAGGGCACCCTTTTCGTGCAAACTCGGACTCTCGACCTCGTACTACTGCTAGCGATAGTTTATCGGGGCCCAATGACAGTACACAATTCAACACAAGCACATTTATAAAGTTCACCCATCACCATCACACACAAAACAAATTGTCTGTTACTTCATATGGCGTTTCCCCGGTCGATTAATCGATATTATAAATATGGATCATAAAAGAATATATATAGCGAATGAAAACTCATATAAATAATACATAAATATACGTAACACACTTGATAAATATATAAATACATTGTAGAGTTTACGACTTTTACAAAGAAAGATACTTTTCTCGCAATTGGTAGAGAAAAGGACCGCGCGAAAGTATAATCACCGCGAAAGAGAGCTCAGTCAAAAAAAGTTCATCGTCCACACCGACGCATCGTAATCTATTTTTAGATGCGCTCGAGCGAATGAAATGAAACGTATTAGTACGAGCTTGTATAGGCCAATTTATTTAATCGCATTTTGATAAATCTTTTTCGTATGCGTTTAGTCGCACGTAAGCGCAAAAAATTATCGAGAGAAACTAATTTATGATTCTAATTTGCATGCGTTGGTCAAAATATGAAAGGAAAAATGTGCACGTACGACACGTTTATTAACACATGCGAATGAGAATTTGATTTTTTCCATACATCATATCGTTGCATGTAAAAGAACGAGAACAAAAAAGACACGTTACGAAAATTTTAGTCCTCGTTTCGAGACTGTTAGCAAATAAATTAAACGATAGCGGAGACGTACGCGCAGGAGGATGTTGCACCGTTCGTAATAAGTACGAATATTATTACGAATGATGAGCACGTGTCGTTATCGTGCTCGAAGCTTCATCAAAGATGTAGTACACATTGATGATTCCGCGATTATGCGTTTTCAACAACATACCGTAATTTTATTATTACACACATTATACATATAAATAAATTCTAATTTGTATTATATTCATTATATATTGTATATTTAACGGATACCGATTTTTTCTATCTCAACTGGCTTTTGTCTTACGATCTCGCTCAGAGACGAAACGAGAGAAAAGTTAAAGCAATAGTTACGTAATATTCTTTTAAATTTTTGAATGTCGAAAGTAGGAGGAGCGACCGTGTATGATAATTGTCGCAGCTGATTTGCGATGCTTCATTATGCATTATATATTTTATAAAGATTGTACTCGATGATGATCGAAAAAAGACCGAAAGAGAAAAGAAACATATATAAAACGAGAAAAAAAGAATGAAATTCCTATATATGAGTGCAGAGAAGGAGGGGTTCATAGCTGAATATATAAGTCGAAACTTTCTTCGGTGCACCTTTGCATAGGAGAAGAATATGTAATATACGGTGAAGAATTTTTTTTCTTTCATGACAGGGATCAAGATAAAGTTTTTGAAAGAAATATCGCAGAGATTTTCTCAAACTGCCAATTCACACTTTGAAGCATTTCGTTTATACTTTACCCCCCACATATACAAAGACTTGAAAACCGCAATTTTACTCGAGGTTTGTTATCCATTCATTTCATTTTCTAAAATCGATGGTTGTATTTTGTTTGTCTCTCGCAAATAACACCAGAAATCTTTGTGCGAGGATGCTGCATTTCACCGACAAGCAAATTTTCACATGATTAATTTAACTATTAACTTTTATTACACAAAGCATTTATTAAGTTTTAAATAATAGATTATCATACGATGAAAACATAAGACTGTTCAGCCGCATACGATCCATTTATCATAAAAAATAGAAAGTATAAGTACGATGGAAAAGAAGAAAAATCGCATACTCTGAGATTTTAAATCTCAAAATGACGTCGGCATTTGCTCTCTCGTGTATAATACAGCCAAGGAGCTATTTAAATTCAGCCTTAATATCGCTGTAAATTTTTTCTACGGCATTCTCCCTCTCTCTCTCTCTCTCTCTCTCTCTCTCTCTCTCTCTCTCTGCAGTTTTGTTCTACAGTCAAGGCTACGTTTTCTTGCAGCACGATATATCCAGCATTTTGAATGTATATAATATATATTTCGACTGTAAACATGGTATAGGGGATTGCCAGAGCTTTTATATTGCGCTTCCTCGCACAGCAGTAGCAGAAGTAATACTGTCAGTGAAAGAGGCCAAGTACTGCTTGGCCATGAACGCTCAGATCTTCAAGTCCACGGGATTTTTTTATCCTTTCGGACCTTCCACGTTAACTGAGCGTCAAGTACTTCACCACATAGGCTGCGCTTATTTATTCACATTCATAACTTCTGTTTCAAGTTCAAATTGTATATATAATTATAGCTGTAACTGAAAACAACTGATTCAATTTTATTTTTCTTAACTACTTTGGTTTCGTCTTCATTGATGAATGATGGTATCTCTTTCTTCTCTCGGTCATATTTTCGTTCATAAACATCAAACGTTTCATAATCTTAATTAAATAAAAATATATCGTTTTTTTTAAACGAAAAAAGATTATACCAAAGAGTCCCGGGTCTCGAAACAAACCATCTTTATAGTGTACCCTTTATTCCCATTGTAATTATTATCTTAGAGTCTTCTCCCTTTTAATATCTACACATGTATAAAACAGAGACACATACACAAATATTATATAAAAAATTACATTGTTGTATTTGCGTGTAAACTTTTTTTCGGGACAAAAACAAAATAGTTCTGCGATTAAAATACGACGATAGGTATGTATAGGACAAAGAATCGATAGGCAAAATGTACTTATATAATAATAGTGCAACTGTGCATGACACACACACATACATAGATACGTGTCACGTTACGCGGTAATACGCGATATTTTTTCGAGCATTTTATAGAGTTTCCATAAATTTATGAGAAATTTTTGGATAACATAAATAATGTACGGCAGAACAGCAGAGTGCGCGAGCGAAGCGTTCTTGTTATAATTTTTTTTCGCAGCAACTTATGTACATATCTATGAAGTTTTCCTTAGGGATTGGTCTTTGGAAAAAGAAACTTTTCTACTTTCGATATCGATTTTATTTGACACTATCTGTATGTATGTACGTTATAAAGATAAAGGGCGTGCAATGTTCAAGTTTAAAGTTTGCTCATTAAAAAATTGTCTACGCAACAACGACATAATACGCTCGCGCCTCTTATACAATGCAGCACGAATATATACTTCGTTAAATTTATTTTTACGTAAAACTATCGAAGTTTATTCGTCAAATTGTTTTGATGCAAGTTGCGATCAACATATTGGTGAAAAAATATCTTTTTATATTATGGAAAAAGGTGTACAGAGAAAAAATTTGAAGAAAAAAACACTGGCTATAAGTGTCTAGAAAAAAAAATTGAATAAATCTTGTTTCACAACGCAAAGTTCACCCGCTTGCCGATAAACGTGCGAAATTCAACACAAGCTACAAACGTGAAAAAGCCATCGATTTTAACCCCGTCATAAATATACCTATATGCATTAATCGTACATGTAGATAAATGAATACGTGAATGTTCAACGAGAGAAAATAATAATAAAAAGATTAAAACTTGAGAGAAAAACATGATAAGGGTTTTCAGCTTTATATAAAAAATGCGCTCGACGAAAAAAAATTCGCCACGAATACGACGGATGTAAGATACGCGTGAAAAGTAGGCTAAAAAAAAATTGTATGAATGTCGAACTGCCTCATGGCCACGCGCTCAGTTTCGCATAATCTAATTAACGACGCTTAAAAAAATTATTTCAAGGAAAAAAAATAATCGAGCAAACGAAAGTAAAACAAAAAAATTAAATAGTAAAAGTATGTGCGGCAAAGACAGTTGCTCTGTCTGCTACTTGTGTAACGACGCTGCACGCGAAAACGATTTTTAAACAAGATTGAAACTAAAGATGCTCAAAATGAGTCAACTTTCTCTCTTTTAAATCCGATCCAACACATGTATATAGATAGAAATTTTTCATTTAATATCAAAACATTGCGCGAAAATTTTGTACGTGTATGTATTATGGGAGCGAGTGTGCAGGTGTGTGTAAATGTATGTATGTATGAATCGACGTTTTTGTTTGTATCAAGTTGTTTCGTTCGACTTCTTTTCACATTATATAGATATTTACATTTATAATAATATCTTTTGTATTTATTTTTTAAACTTTCACACTTACACGTACAAACATTTCGAGACACAGGAGCACTGAGAAAACGTTGTATGAGCGCGTATTTTATTTTCTTGTATAATAACATTCACGTCATGGATGTAAGTAAACGACGAACAAGATCGTCAAATCGAACGTTCACGGCATTTTTTATAGAAAAATAATTATCAGCCTGTTTCTAAGTGTCTTAGCCTTACAGCTCGCGTTTTATACGAGGCACATTCTTGCAGAAGTTCATCTTTGCCTCTTTATAAAATAAACGTATACATAGTACTTTTGTCCTCTCGGTTTATCGAGATATACTCAAAAATTCGTGCTCAAATATACTCAAATAACTGTGGCATAACTCGCTCTTTATAACTCTCTGTATGTATAGAAATATAGTCTCGGGACCCTATTTATGTTTTATATCAAATTATATATTATTTATAAATATGTGTATAAATTTCTAATTTATTTATTTAATTGATTAATTTTATTGATTTTATGATTAAAACGTCATCACCATCTAATTATTTGTAGTCGTTATTTTTGGTTTTCCAAAACACACAAATCCTATTATTTCCTTTTGTTATTATCATTTAATTTATCCTTCATAGTATATCATTTCCGACGCAATAATTGAAATTTAATATTTATTTATTTATTTATTTTTATGTTTGCATGATGATTATATTTATTTTAAGGTAAGTGAATGTATCATTTTTTTATTATTTCAGAGGCATGACACTTCCCGGTTATTTTTTCATTTTTATTTAAAAATTTTTTACGAATAATTAGAATGCGGCTTTCAGTGAATTCGCTTTCAATTACCATTTGCGCAGACTGGTTTAAATCTCGGGCGTTTTTATATAAACTCATTAAATCTGCACGCAAGCGAAATATCCAAATCCACGGCGGACGAATGGATGGACGGACGTGGCCGCGTTCAGCTAACTTTTTACAACTCTCAGAACAACTCGAACAGTAGCTTAAACAAGACAAAAGCATTAGTATTTATACAAAATGATAGCTGCAAAACTGCTTGACAAGAACAGGGGATCAGTAGAGACTAGAAATGACCGGCCAGACTCTTGCGCGAAGGTTATAACAAATTGAAACATATAACCATTAGGCTTTTTTACAAACCCTGGCTACTGTACAGCATTCCTCGGTACCGATTTCTTTCGCAGGTTTCTCAATAAGGCAATACCTCGCTTACGTATCGAATTAGATTTTCATCCGTAGCAAGCGCATAAAGCTTTTATTTTACCCTCATCCGAATGGGCGTTTTTAACTGACGCTCGAGGATGGAGACACGAAAAGACTTTCCGCAGAGAACAGCTGCTGAAAGTACCGGCTGCGGTTGTAAAATAAAACTGTGAAACGACTAATCTAAACCGTGCGTCTATTTTATATGTACGCGTGGATACATAGATATACGACTCACCTGCCTATTTTACAGACACGTGTGTGCACGTAGAGCAAGACATTAAATTCAAAGCTTTAAGTTCAGCTTCAAGTTGCTCGAGCTTTGGATGGAAAACTATCCATATACGAATTGACCTCGCTTTTTCTTCGTTTATTTTATCTTCTTCCAAGTTTCTGTACCAGAGAGAGAGAGAGAGAGAGAGAGAGAGAGAGAGAGAGAGAGAGCGAGTGAACTAAACTTAGCTCTTGAGCCGTGCGATACTTTTTGGAGACTTTACTAATGCTATTCTATGCTACACATCGCGCGAAAAACTTAGAAGCGTTGGGCTATGTCACGGAATTGTGGATAAAATTGATTGGCTTGGGTACCTATACGTAATATAAACATTAAATGGGAACATATAGAATTATTAGTGAAGTCGAAAGCTGCTCATGTTGCACATTAGCATTAGTCCAAGTAGTAACATCGATACTGATGGAATAGAGAGAGAGAGAGAGAGAGGGGGGTAGTGCGCGTGACCAGTGAAAATGATTCGAGCGCATACGATTATTTATTGATTAGATTCGAACTGAAAGCTATACGAGCACAGGGGAGACAGAAAGTATAATATATGATTAATTCTTCAGAATTCGGCTTATTTAATTATTTAAAATGAGAAAAATTGAAAAAAAAGTTTTATGGAACTCCAACGTAAAAATCGCAATTTTGTCCAGTTATAGGCTTTCGTACTTACGATAAAGGGGATATAAGCAACATTTTACGACATGGAGAGGTTAAGGCCCGAGTGCCGGAGGGTTTCGTACACGGGTGCCCGAGTTTTATATGAGATTTTATAGTATCTTGCTAAGTTCAAATTTTGGCCCTTTTTCGGAATATAAGTCAGAATTTTTATTGTCGCGGAGTGAGGTTAAAAAATAATTTTCTACACATCACAACGTAAAAGAAGGAATTACTCATATACATTCATACGTTTCATACATCCACAATAATCTGTAGGGAGTTCTGTCCTCGGCTTCGCCTCGAATGATAAATTACACGTGCTCTGAGACTTTCCAGTTTTTCGTTCTCTAGGTGCAAAATATACTATTTCAGGCTACCCCAGCCGCAACTAACCTTTTTCGTCCCGGCGGCCAAAACGAAAAAGTTAATTTCTGGTGAGGGACTCATGAAAAATAGTATACGCACCTATGAAGCGAAAAAGAAAGCTTCAGAGCACGTGTAATTATCGTCCGAGGCGAAGCCGAGATTCTTTATTTATTGATGATATTATAAACACACTAGAATAGTAGTAAAATACAGAGAACGTGAGCTCTGCTCTCCAGCTCGGTCAGTGAGCGAATTCCAGTTTTTTGCTCCCTAGGCACGTAATATACTATTTCGATTGTAATAATCAACGAAGGTAAAATTTTGTATGTTTATCTTAAGTAAAAATATAGCTTTTTTTTTATTTAAAAGGTAAGAACACAACAATATCGAATGAATGGCGTATTTAGT